TGTTATTACTTCATTGTTGTAAATCATGGTTTATGTTTAAATATTTTATGATGACATAAAATATGTCTACGGTCAAGTATTTTCTTGATAAAAATTCTCTAGTTAGTAACATAGTTACTTCGCTATGATTGAATGACATTAGATTTAATTACACTTTTTTTTTAAATATCCATTACCTTGCTCACGATTTTTCTGTCGATCATGTATACACCATATACAACATACAGTTGTGTACGCATATAAACTGTTTGAACCTTACAGTTACTGTCGAAAAAATAATTAGTATATAGTATAACGTCAATTTAAAAAAAAGCTTAACAAATATGTAAAGCTGTTTTAATGAATAGGTATATTGTATGAACACAAAAATTAAATGAAGAGTCTTGATTAAGGATTTTGTATGTGTCAAGATAAATTTGGTCACGTGTCTCTGTTAGTTATAGATCCACTGATGTGTTATAGTTTGAAACTACTCGGTTTAGTTCATTCGCGATCACTCATTGTATCACATCTAGGTTAATTATGTCTCGCAACGAAAATGGTGCATTTAGATCACTGAGAATGAGATCACATACCGATTTTAATTGATTTGTGGTATACAATGATCCTTATTCAATATCATAATTAAATTACTGTCTAGCATCATATGCAGTCAACTTTATAAGTGCTAGTTCATCACAAGAACTTAGTTATTTTTATTTCAAAGCTTACCACCAGCAAGTATATGATTGCTTTTATATAACTTCCTTTCATTTTACTTGGAATTTATGCGAAAACCACATGAAGTTCCCAATCTATTTTCCTTCATCCAATTTATGATCAATTAAATTGTAATCTGAAATAGTGTAAAACCTAACACAAAACAATTCTCAACAAAACTCCATGCTTATTTGAGACTAAATTTTGAAAGAGTTTCTACTGTTGAAAAGATTAACAGTAAGTCTCACTTTAACATGACTAATTTGATTAGATCTTTTAAAAGTTTCATATGAATATCCATTTATCATTACTGTACTGTTAATTTGAATATTAAGGTGAACTAGATAATGTTGTATGTGATTACATAACGTATCTGTAATCATATAGTTTTGCATGTGCATAGACATTTATTTTTTTTGGCTCAATTCCTTAATTCGATCGATACTTCGTACACCCAGTATCAATTACTAAATAATGTAAATTACATTTGTTACTACACACATTGATTAAACACATTAAAATCTCTGCTCGGTTTGGTGTAAACCAAAGTAGCACAATCATTTTATTTATTATTGATTATTTCATATGGTTTAGGTTTTTGAAGAAGCTATAAGAAGTTGTCGTCAATCAAGTTTATAAATTCCCTCTAGTAGATGAGTATTTGCAACATAATATCTATTTAAATAAATACCAATTTCAGCACAATCCACAATACCTTTAAATATTATATACTCTAGAACATATTTCTCAATTGAACTTCCCTATATTCAGCCATATTTCACTGTAAACAAGTTATGGAACTGAAAACATGAATTAAATAATCTGTTCATGCTGTGTTTTCATCTAACATATCCAGTAATATGAACGAAGGAAGAATAACTTGATCAGATCAAATGTTTTATTTAAACATGTCATTAGACTTTCTATTTTTCCATATGACTTTTTCATATCAAAAACATTTTCACATTAAAATTTAAACTGTACACACATTACAGATAACGAGAAAAAAGTGTACAAAATATGTTTCAAATGTTGATGCATTTTCTTTCATCATTTCCCCTTTCCTTTGATCGTTTATAAAGCGATGAAAAAAGTTGAAACGGGAATTCTAGTCTTTCTATGACATCTAGATTTTAATGTTCATTATCACAAATCTGTATATGCGTAGAAATAATCTTTTTTATTTCTTCACCTTTTGATTATCTGTTTCTATACATTTCACAAAAATCAATAAGCATATGGATATGAACACAACGTAATTGTCATAGGTTCATTGAAATAAAATGGCATGATAATCTCATAAGATATAAAAGCAATCTACTATATATAGACTTCTGTTGTTTTTGTTAAGAGACTGGCAACACTACTTATATTTATTTATGATAAATATTTTAAAATATTGATCACAGTAATGAAAAATAAATACAACAGTTTATTTGACGTAGGTAGTTTCAGTAAGAAGGTGGTTTGTTGTTATATGGTAAAATATTCCATTCTATACCGTGTTTCTCATTAAGGGTTCTTTAACGGTTACAGACATCCTCATTATGATTTATATTGTTATTCGTCATTGATGTGTACTTGAAATCGGCAGAGGAATAACGTGTATTAGTAAACAAGTTCCTGCAATAATTAGCTTGGTAAGTCTTCGACATTGATACTGACCTTATAAGTTTTACTAGACACATCCCTAGCTGAAGGTATTCCGTCAAGCGTCCATACCAGAACAAGTTTCGGCACACCGTGTTGCTTATCTACTAAGACAACTAGCCAGCTTGTACGCAATAGAAAATGATATATTAACCATCACCATCAGCGTATCTTCGCATCCCATTATCCACGAATTTTGGTTCGGTTGGCTTTGGGATCGTTGTTTAAGAAAAGGTTTTGGATAGTAGCATTCTCAAACACTGAGGATCAGTGACATGTTCAAACACAAGCTGAGGAAACCTTTTGCTCGATGGAAATCATCATGTTGCTCTCATGTTTCATTTAAAACTTAAAGACAAAGTCATAAGCAAGATGGTATAAGGAAAAATCCCATTTATTGCGTAAAAACAAAATAATACTTTTCATTACAATAACAGATTTACTGCACTAGATTACTAAACAAAGTACTGTGGACTTACTTAAGCATATTCTCTTATGTAAGGACTATTGAGTGATGAATTCATTATTCTACTTATTCACACCAGAAAACTAAAGCCACAGGAGAATTTCCTAATCATTAAACTTGAAAAATGATCCATTATTGTAATGTTAAGACTGAAAACATTGATAAACTGAATCTTTTTCTATATAAGCAAACAAAGTTTCAAACACTATAGTTATGAGAGGACATCGCCGATGATACTGTGGTGTATGATATTTATGTTGCCAGATATGAGTAGTATGTAGAATACCTGCAAGCAAAAGATTGAGAAGATTGAAATGAACTAAAGAGAGAAGAAAATACATGGCAATCAAGATAACAACATGAATGAAGGAACGACGAAGTTCATAAGAGATAAATGATGAGAGATGTGCAAATGATCTATTTAATGTATGGTTTATGTCTTTCACGAAGACACTGGAATTTTGCTATAACGATAAATTGGTTATCCCGACCTGAGTTATTTGATCACTACAATACTAGTGGTCGACTTACTAGGATGTTACATTCTCTGGAACGCACTTCATACTCTATCTAGTATGTAATTGAATATTCCGTAATACAAAATCAACAGTCTTACGGGTCACCTAAAAATCTCAAGTTAGTGATTCAATTACGCCCTACCACTCACGAGTTACATAGTTGGTGAAAACATCAGAATTGTTACATCAAGGCTCAGTGAAACTCAGTGTCAAAAATATCTCTGAATAAATAGTATATATGTAAAGGACAAAATTATTTCTATACATAACGTCTTCATTTACAATTATCTAAGTGTCAGAAAATATTTTAGAAAGTACAATAAAATGATACAGGTACCAAAAATGAAGATCGATGATGAATGTCAACTTCATATCAAATATCGAATTCTATAGATAAACCAATGAAACAGAGATGGGATGTAACCTAGTTCCGGGATTGTCCGATATCTTTTAAGGACATTAGAAAAATGATAATTATACGATTCTCTGAATAAATTAGTATGATATTATCGTTGCGTAGATAATACCGTAATTATGTGGTGTTTGATGTTCAATCTGTCAGAACTTTCAGGGACCTTCAATAATCCGCATCTACCAATCAGTTTCACATGTAAAGAACATAATAACAAGATAGCATTTCTTGGTTTAGCAAAAAAGGAATTATTTGACTGGACAATTTATTTATTTCCATAGCCTATCACATCTCTAACACAAAACTAATCTGGTTAAACGCCTAAGTCATGGAATCTAAAGATGATATAGAGACAAAATTAAACAAACTGCCGTTAGCAAATTTTTTGAAATAAGTAACAAGCTGCTACAGTCGGAAATATAACTCCATTTAAGGCTTGATTTTGAAGGTGAGATGGCTAGTGAAATTCTACCAAGCAGACTCATGCGATCGATGAAAACGACTTTTAATGCAGCTAAGAAACCCAATACGGATTCAGTAAATCAATGTTAAGACATTAATAATAGTTTTATTTATGGATATTTGTTAATCTCGAGGGTTGATTAAGTTGCCTATGCTCAAAAGTACGCTCGAGTACGTGTACAGCATGATTAAGTAAAGGTGTCACTAATTTTATCAGTAGTATTAAACATTCTCGTCTAATTCGGTGAATATAATTTCACTGTTACATATCATATTTCAAAAAATTTATCTAAGAGAGCAACGTCATTGTATACTGATGTCTGATTGTTATGAACAATATGATACATCTATAAATGCTTAAATTATAAAGTTTAACCATAGTTGCCGAACTAGATTATGTTGTAAAAAAAGTAACGCATCATTTTCACATTAATTGAATAATTCACATACAGGTAGTTTTTGTCGGTGAATGATTCGTGACAATTTCATGACAAAAGAATTTACTAATCATTTTAGAATTTCTTGTGGTAGGTTTTATAACTTAAGCTTTGCTTCATTCACTTCTGACTATAAAAATGTCGTATAAATTAAAGGAGTTCAAATTGTGGATGTGCACTAATGGATTAGTGTTAAAACTCTGAAAGTTGTCAAATATGTGAAAATTAAGATGGTTCAATAGAGAAAATTTTCTGTAAGAGGATTTGATTTACAAAAACTTCAAAATCATTTTATAGTTATTTTACATATATTATTCCGTGATAATATATAAAGGCTTTGCGTAACTAACCAAGTTGTCAGAGCTTTACAAAATATTTTCAAGTATTGAATATCTTTTACGTAATATTAGATGAGTTATGACAATCTATGTGATGGAAGTTTTGTGGAGGCCCGTTATTTTTTAATCGTCATTTAGATCGGACGATGTTGTCGTCCGGGCTTTCCACTTTAGTGGCCCGTGGATCTGACTCCAATTAGATCGTATGAATGTTTGTTATCGCCTATCCTATTGTATAATCATCGACTTTAATCGCGTTAGTCAATAACGGATTTAGATAAGTCAAATAATGAGAATGGACTTTTGAATACACATATTTTGTATATAAAGTGAATGGAATAAAACGAAGCAAAACGACGCGCAATGAAGATGGCGGGTAAGCCAACTCCCCTTTAATCAAGCGTTAATCAATATTTATAGTTATACAAAAGTAAGTTAATGAAATGTGATGAGTAATGGGATAAGAAATGTACACATACACCTACGCGCTCATATAAAACCATCATCATTTTCATTCTTCTGGACCAAAGCAGAGAAGCATATTAACTTCTCAGCATTTCAAATCATTAAAAGAATTGCGAAATAATGCCGATATTATTATACTTAAACCCGATAAAGGATCTGGTGTTGTTATTATGAATAAGTCAGATTACAAAAATAAAATGGAATCCATTCTCAGTGATAAAAGTAAATTTTTGGCTGATGTTGACTTTGATGGATTACGTAAATTAGAAAAGAAAGTGAACTCGAATCTTGTGAAATTGTTAAACATGAATGCTATTAACAAAGATGAGTTTAATTTATTAAAACCTATGGGTTCGGCATATCCTAATTTATATGGATTACCGAAAATTCATAAGCCTAATACCCCCCTACGTCCAATTCTATCTATGTGTCGGTCACCTACACACAACCTGGCAAAATGGCTTACAAAATTATTAAACCCTATCAGAAATCAATATTGTAAGTATTCTTTGACTGACTCATTCGAATTAATTAATTACTTAAAGGATATAAATATAAAGACAAAGACAATGTGCTCCTTTGATGTAAACACTTTATTTACAAATGTACCTCTTAGGAAAACCATTGATATTTTGTGTGACTTTATTTCTTCGGAAAACCTTCCACTACCTTTTCCTGTTAAAACTCTTAAAGATTTATTATTATTATGTACAGACAATGTAAAATTCACATTTGAAGGTGAACACTTCAGACAAATAGATGGTGTAGCTATGGGCAGCCCTCTAGGACCATTGCTAGCTGATGTATTCATGGGATATGTGGAAAATTTAGTTGGAGACTCAATTCGAAAGATGAGTCTGTATAAACGATATGTAGACGACATAATAATCATAGGTGATAAAATTGAAGACATAAGCCACTTGTTAGAAGAATTCAATAGTAGTCAAAACCACATTTCTCTTACATGTGAAGAAGAGAAGAACAACCAACTTCCTTTTCTTGACATCCTGATTACTAGGAGAGATGATGGTTCCATTAAACGTGCTACATATAGAAAACCAACATGGACAGGACAATATCTTAATTTTCATAGTCACTGCCCTATTCATTATAAACGTGGTTTAATAAAGAGCTTATTCAATAGAATCAATCGTATTTGTACTAGTGATACTATTGAAGTAGAGATGAAGCTCTTGACTGATGCGTTATTCAATAATGGTTACCCTTTGAAGTTCATAAACCGCTGGAAGGGTTGCAATATGACTAGACCTATGATGCTTCTGGCACCCAAAAAGCGAGTTTATATTACGCTACCATTCAGAGGTGACACAAATAGTCTCATGTTGAAACAGAGACTTAAATTAGCTATCAACCGGACATTTTATGCAGCCCAACTTGTCATTATCGAAAAGACAAGGTCTATGTTTCACCAAAAGCCCAAACAGCATCAAAACGATTGTGTCACATCCCATTGTGTCTATCAATTTACATGTATGTGTGGAAACACGTACGTAGGGAGGAGCAATCGTGATTTGCAATTAAGGGTGGGTGAACATATACCAAAATGGTTGCAAAATCAGATGAATTCCAATGGTGAAATAAGACCACAGGATAGACAGACATCATCATCCATTACGAAACATTTGATTGAGACGGGTCATAAGGTTGATATCAAATCAGCATTTGTTGTGTTGTACAAAAGCCTTCAAGGACGTATACTAAGGTTTATTGAAGCCTTGGCTATACGAAAATTGAAACCCCCTTTATGTGTTCAAAAACAATTTGTACTTACACTTAACCTACCCTGGTAGTACTGATTTACTGTCCAGAGTGGTAATCACATTTGTTTTTGTGTACTTTAATATTTTTTCCTTTGTTATGACTTACCCTTAACCTGTCTAGTTGACCTTTTAATTTTTTCATATATAAATGTTCTTAACAAGTATATGTGTGATCAGATTGTTCGAAATGTATTGCGCAAATATATCACATAATTCTGATAAACTACGTCTTCTCATTGCATTATCGAAATTTATCAAAGGGACTAATTGTTTTAAAAAACCAGTTAAGATTGATAAGCGAATAAATAACAAAGTCAGAATGTGACTCAAGTAGTATGAATAGAATGGGCTGTCAGAAAGCTAGAATAAGGTATATGGGCTTAACATAATAACCGACATTACAGAGGGTATGATTCAAAGTATGAAAGATAACTTTCCACCTAAATGAGTAATGAGTGAATAAGTGCCAATTACAGTATTTAAAATTAAGAGTCCTAATATCACGAATAAATTGAATCTTGTTTCCGATTCACTTGGTGACTACAGATAATCCAGTGTTCAATAATAAAGCTAATAAATAACTTGAATTTATCTTTTAATAACCATACAGCATAGTTCACTCATTTGTATTCGGAAAAAGCGTGCTTAATGAGGCTAATATACATATTGAAGTACCAAAAGAGGAACAAGTCTGTCACTGATAAATAGCCAAAGAAAGTAGGAAATGAAGAAAACAGTTAAGATCTCCATTAAATTACATCTTTTCCTTAGAAATATCGACAGTAGATTTCTTGTGAAATCTAATAACATGTCACTCTGAAGTGCTATTTTTCATCGAAAATAAAAACCTAGTCAATTGCTTCTTATTTAATTCTAATTATATACTTACTGCTGTTACCCCTCGTGGAGGAGCACAGGCCGCTCACCAGCACTCTCCATTCAACCCTATCTGAGGTAATCCTATCCAGCTGTTTCCATTTGCTATTCATCCTTAGTCTTCCTCTATTCCGTTTTCATTCAGGACCGTAAGTGAGCGCTTGCCTTGTGATGCAGTTTAAGGATTCCCTAGTGTATGTTCTATCTACTTCCAACGTCTTTTCCTAATTTCCTAGTCAGCTGGAACCTGGTTTGTTTTCTCTCACAGAAGGCTGTTGTTCATGGTATCTGGCCAATGAATGTTGAGTATCTTACGTAGACAATTTTTTATAAATACTTCTAACTTTTTGATGATGGTTGCAGCAGATCTCCAAGTTTCAGCTCCGTACAGTAGAACTGTTGTATTGAAGAATGTGACTTTGATATTAGTTGATAATTGCTTTGAGTTCTATATGTTGTTCAACTGTTGGAATGCTGTCTTCGCTTTGTCAATCATTGGCATTTTGTCTGTATCAGATCCTCAACGTTCATGGATGCTACCCATTTACGTGAAACTCTCCACATTTTCCATCAAGTGTGATTGCGTCAGTGTTCTTCAAGCTATGCTTCAAGATCCTTCTTTTTCCCTTGTGTTTGTTGAGGCCCACTAACGCAGGTCATCTGTGAAATCCAAATCGTCTAGTTGCATCCAAGCTGTCCATTGTATTCCGTTCGTCCCTTTAGATGTCGAGAACCTCATAATCCAATCAATCATTAGAGAAAAAGGAACAAGGGAGAGTAGGCAACCTTGTTTGACTTTGGTCCCCACTTGGAATGAGTCACAGCTGTCCTTCATACACAACTTTGCACTGTAGTCCATCATATGAATTCCATAATGTCCGTCTATCCACACTATCAAATACTTTCTCATCGTCAAGGAAGTTGATGTATAGTAACAAGTCCCATTTAATTGACTGTTCAACGATGATCCGTAGTGTTGCCGTCTGGAATGTGCATGAGCAATCCTTTCGGAATCCGACCTCTTGATCTAGAAACCAGGCAACTATTGAGTCTTTCACCTAGTTCAGCAACACTCTGTTGGAAACTTTTCTTGGTACTGGCAGTAATGTGGTGCCTTTGTATCTGTCACATTTGCTCAGATCTTACTTTGATATCTTCACGAGATGTCCTTCTTTCCAGTCTGTCGACACTTGTCCTTCCTTCAAGATTTTCCTGAATATAGTGTGAAGCATCTTTGCAATTACTTTTATGTCTGACTTCAGTACTTCAGGTGGTATAATGTCAGGTCCTACTGCTTTCACACTCTTGACTTGTTTGATATCTGTGCTGACTTTTTTAGTCGTTGGTGGAGTAACAGACATAGGAATTTTAGAATTAGCATAATAAAGTTGTGAAACACATATTCTGAATAACAGGCAATGCCAAATTTATTTCCTACAGCAGTATTTTTTTCAACGTTGTTCGAAATAATTCATCAACCCGAATATTCCTATGGTTATCTATTCAACATGTAATGCGGGACTAAGAAGTTAATTAGTGCATTATTTTTAGCCCTCTTAAGTATAACAGTTCCGTGCACTCAAATTGCTATCTTAGTTTTTTTCTTTATTTAACCACACTATCTCAGGATTAACTGTTTCTTTTGTATCATCTGTAATCCAAACTCAAATGAAAATCATCATACAGACTTTTTCACACTATTCAGTTAAATAAAGAAAACAATCTTCATTTAAATCAAGTTCATCTCTAATTTTAATTGTATTGTAGTGAACAAGAACACAAGTGAGGCAATCGAATGTATTTGAGTACGAAATTACAGAATATCTCACTAAAATCTGAGAACCATACAGTAAACACTTAATCTTCAAAATATCAGTCCATTGTTTCAAACTTGACTACTTATTTTGTAAATATCATTCCATCGTCTCAGATTTCATTGTTACTGCATTTTCATACCAATGGCTTTCCGTTCCCATTCTTTCCTTCTCTATCTTCTACTGAAATAAATTCTATTCCTGACTATCGTTATATACTACTTATGTGTATATAAGTAGCACACACCACAGTATAAAAGTGATACGTAATTATGGAAATTAGTTGATTAATTTATCTTCATATAATGCTTAGAGTTTCATAGTACAAAAAAGCTGTGAATCATAAAAGAGTAACAATGAAAATAGTTGAATAACCTAGTTGAAGATTAAGCAATCAATGATGAACTTTAACCTAAGATCTGAAATACTACTACTTATTCACTTCAGTACCTTGTTAATATTAGATCACTTTTAATGTGAATTATCCATATTTATTTATTTATTTGATGAGGATAAATACAACAGTAGTAGACTATTATAGAGGTGACTAAATCATACAATGTGATTACAATAATTATTGATTTCTAGATATAAGTTAACAATTTTATGTTTACAATTTAAATGACACATTTAACAATCTTTTGTTTTTATATATTTTACTTAAGAAAATGTAATGTAACACCCACTTCAAAATCTTTTGATGAATACATCAAGGTCATCTCTGTGGTATAAATTCTATAGAATATTTAAGAAAATATGTATTTCATACAACTAATATAAAAAGCTTGACAACATAAAGTTTAATTTTAATATTTCACCATTAAAACAAACATTCTATACAGTAAACTATTACATTTGACTTAACAGTTTGATCTATATCTATCTATCTATATATATATTGAGTAATTAAACATGTCATCGCGTAATAGATCAAAAAGTCGAACATATTATTCACAAGCTGGTGATCATTATGTGGATAGCAAATCTAAACAATTACTCTTTCAAGAAGCTCAAGTATGTACAATGGGAAGAACTATATTAAAGAATAATGAAGCATTTGATGCAAATGCAGCTGATAATTTAATAGAAAAACATTTTAAAAGACGAAAATCACATGGTTCAATGTATTGTTTAGTGGATAGAGTAAGATTTCAGAAAAGTAGATCAACTGGATCACGTTCATACAGACCTGATCTAACTTATAGAGAAATTAATCGCTTTTATGAACACAGAAGTCGACCTGATTGTTTTACATTAGGAATAGAAGATGAAAGAACTGGGAGACGATCTTATGAATCATATAAATGTAAGCGACCTGAAGATGTTGGTTTGCTGCGTAATACAATACTTAAAGCACAACAAGACCCATATTTTCTTTTAAAAGATTCTACAGCAATCCGTCAAATTTCGGTATCACCAACATACTACCATGATACTTCACCTCGAAATGGTCCAGTTACAGTGATTACCGTCCCACCTGAGCATACCAGATCGTATGAGAGGACAGTTCGCTCCCCATCACCAGTATATATTAGACCTGTGACAAGACAAAGTGTACGTCGCTCACCTTCACCTGAAGATGTCTATGTGTATCGGAATAGTCGACCAGTCAGTATTGAACGACGATATGATACAATCGAGCCAAGTAGACCACGTAGTGTTACAAGCTATAGAACCGTATCTAGTCCAGCGGTGAATGATGAAGTAACTTATCTAAAAGTAGATAATCAATCAGGAGCTCAAATATCTCCTAACGGTCCAATATACATGTATGTTTCAAGATCAAGACCTGCAGATGATTTGGTATCATCACCAGACGTATCAAGTTATCAACCAACAAGGAGAAGCATCTATTATAACAGATAAGTGTGTTTTTTTTCATAAGACAAACTATGTCAAAGTTGTAGAGGATATGCGACATTCATTTTTTTTCATCTCTGTTTCTTCTCAGCTAACAAACATTAATATGTTCACATTTTTTTTTAAAATTTTGTAACAATATTTTCTATATATCCACGAAATGTTTAAATTCACTATAAGTCCATGTTATATATATGGAAGGAATGTATTATCTAGTTCATTCGGAAGTTTCATGTTAAACATTTATGCCTATTTTCTACCTATTTTTACTGATGTATATGATAGTTAATTTAGGAGAAAAAAAATTGATAAAAAGTAACCCTCATACATGAACTCTAGTAACCATTCAATAAAATAATTCATTTGTAACATTTAATTTCAAATTTGATAATAATATCTGTTTTTTCTTATAATGTTCCTTCTTGAATATATTGAAAGAGGATGAAATAGTAAAGTGTCAATGAAGAAAAACTCGCTTTTTCGTTTTGTTTTTATTGTACAATACTTTTATGGTTTAATGTAATAGTAGATGTAATTCAGAATGACAATATTACTTTACTTACTTACTTATGCCTTTTACTCCTTTTAAAGGAACATAGGCCGCTCACCAGTACTCTACATTCAACCCTGTCCTGGTCAATCCTTCCCACTTCTTTCTAGTTATTATTC